GAAAATAGATAATCATTATGGGATTAACCCCATTTTATTTCCTAATGATTTAACAAAATCAGTGACTAAAATGAATCCACAACAAAACACCAACACTCAAAGGTATAAACATACATATAAAACAACACAAAGACTAAATTTAAAATACTAAAAATACAAGAAAAATATCAAATTATGCATCCATATTATTCTGTACTAAAGCAGTGGTTAAAACAAACACAAACAAAACTAGAAGGTATTAATATATAAATACAACAATTTTGAGTAATATTACAAGTAAGGACTAAAATATAACAATGTTAAATTAATGAATTAAACTAGTCATTTAACCAAACGATATTAATAAAACATACGGTGATGAAAATGTAAAAATGACAAAACTCAAAGTTTAAACTTAGAAATAACCCATGTTTCATTTAAGGACTGAAATGGAAGCTTACAAAGCTCGGATGGCCTGGAACACGATTTACCCCATGTGCTGAAACGGGTTGCCCTACCTTGCCTTAAACAACGTCGTTTTACGGTAGAAGGGAGGGCACCAAAACGGTGTTGTTTCAATGGGACTAAATAGGCTCCTTTAGTTTTTTTTTTCATTTTTTACATATTCTCTTCTCTCTCTAACCGGTTTCTCTCTCCATTCTCTCTAAACTGGGAGTGCCCGGTGGTGGCGCCGTCCGTCGTCAGTGGCTGTTAGCCACCAAATTTCGCCGAGTGGCTCGTCTCGTTGCATTGAGTCCGGATCGGGGCTTTATTTTTGCGAGATTCTGCTTATTTCACCGTGAAACGGGCTGAGAAATCCTTTGCTTTTCGGGCTTCGATCATCGTGATCCGTAGTTGGATCGAGCTGCGGCTCAGGTATGACGTTCCAAGGGTTGCTCCGGATCTTCTCATCGCTCGGATTGACCGACGGAGACTCCCACTTCTGGCGAGAGGCTTCAACCGAAAGGTAAGCTTCTTATCTTTTCGATTTTTTTTGGTTTTCTGTGTTTTTTTTTCTGAATATGCTCTCCCTTTTTCTCCTTTCTCCCCTCTTTGTGTAGTTGTTGCATGCTATAAAAATGACCAAGGTTGCTTGCTTGTTTGATGAGGGTTCGACAGAGGAGTATGGCTAAGGCAGGGGTGTTCAATTGGTGAACAAATAAGGATTAAGTGTGATTTGTTTGTTTTATTATATTTAATTTCTTATTTTTTATTAGATTTGGTTTGATATGTTGAGATTTGGAATATGGGATTTGTTGAGGTGGTCGACGACAGTAATAACGGTGGCGACAGTGGAGGCAGAGGAGAGGCGACGCTAGCAGTTGGGGTAGTTAGGGTTTTTAGGTTTTGGTTGGTTTAAGGTTGATTTGGGTTAGAGGATAAATGTGTTGAGTTTGTAATTTGGTTTGAGCCCGAGTTGTTGGGTTTGTAATTGGGCTCGGGTTATGTAATAATAATAATAATAAATATACATATCACGAAAAAATGATGATTATACTTATTTAATATACATTGATTTGTTGAGATTGAAAATGGTTAAGATTATACATATACATTGGGTGTTAGATGAATATTGACGTTTGAAACTTTCATATTATAGATAGAGATCAGTTTTAGACAAACTAATATATCTTACAAGTTTTAGGTGTTGTATTGATTTAAAAAATGTTTGTTTATTTTTTTGGATGATATTAACTGAAACCCGCAGGAATTCATAAGGGATGAATAGGGAACAAAAAATTCCCGAAACATATAATAAGGATTCTCCAAAACTGTACCACTAAGTGTTGGGGACGGATTGGGTAATGCAAAACCGCCCTCCCCTTCCCTTCCCGTTGCCACCCTCAGACCCAAATCAAATAACAAATAAAAATATATATGATATTGAAATTAACTCAAATCAACGAGTCCCAACCCATATGCATCACTAAGCCCACCTCTCCACAAGCATCATGCAACCCACTATTAATATTCTACAACTTAATTCTTTAATAAAAAAAAGGTTGACTACATAATTGATTATTCATATTTGTGTTTGTCTGATTTTTTATTGATTTTAAAAACATAATATATGATTATTTTTATTTAATTAAAATATGATCACTACGAGTTAAATGTCGTTAACAGTTAACAAATTAGGCGACGTGGCAGTTAAAAATTTTGGTATAATTATACATTTGGTCTCTGTTATATACATATTCTCTCAATTTAGTTATACTTTTAATAAATTTAAATAAATTTAATCATCCAATCGAATGATGTCATATGTCACTGATGTCACATGTCATCATTCTGTTGGAGTACTAACTTTATTTTAATTTATTTTAATTTAATATATTTATTTTCCACCATAAATATAGTAAATATTTATATTAAATTAAAATAAGTTAAAATAAAGTTGGTCCTCTAACCGAATAATGACATGTGTCATAGTGACACGTGATATCATTTAATTAGAGGATTAAATTTATTAAAAGTATGATTAAATTAAGAGAATATGTAAATAAAAATGATCAAATGTGTGACTATACCAAAAATATTTAACTTCCATGCCACCTAATTTGTTAAATAAAAACAACAGTTAACTCATAGTGACTACATCTTAATTAAATAAAAACGAAAGTGACTATATTTTAATTAAATAAAATAAAAATATACATATATTATATTTTTTAAAATAAGCGAAGAAAAGTTGACAAAACATAAATAATCAATTATTTAGTTAATCATAGAAAATGACTCTATAATCAAAAAGAGGAAAAAGAGAAATGAATTTTCAAACCATAGTCTTAGTGCTTTACATGTCATTTGCTTAAGCAACATAAATTAGATATTCAAAAAGGAGATGTCATTGATGGGACAAGCGATGCAATCTCCTACTTCAACACCAATGACCAATTGTCAATAAAATTAAAAAAAATAAAATAGTGAAAATAACTTAATATTATATAAAAAAAATTAATTATTTTTATTTTAAAAAATAATATATATATATATATATATATAATTTGAATAATATTTAAAAGTCAAAATAAATTTCATAAGCATAACTAAAGATGGACATTTATCTAAACTGAACGGGTTTCATCTGACCCGATAAGATCACAATTTTTTTAAGGATGAGATCATGTTGATTTTTAAAGGATATAATCTTGTCGAGTCATTCCTTTTATAGTTTCAGATAATTACAATAATAATTCTTTGATTATATTTTTTAATTAGGATCCATTTACACTATGTAAAACTAATAAGTTTTACAACAATTTATAGTCATTAAATTTAAATAAATAAATAGGTTAGATTTAATTAAAGTTTATAACACATAAATAATTTTTTTTGACTCACAGTAAAATATTTTTTTCTTTTTAGGATTAGAGTTTAGGATTTAGGGTTTAATATTTAAGTTTTAGAGTTTATGATTTAGGTTTGGGATTTAAGGTGGAGATTTTAGGGTTTAAGATTTAGAATTGGGGTAAAAAGAGATTATTTTACTATGAGTAAAGATATTTATTTATGAGTTATAAATTTTAATGAAATCTAAACTATTTATTTATTTAAATCTAGATTGAGTATGAGGTTTAATCTGAAAAATTGAATCATATTTCGGGTCGGATATAACCTTTTTAGACATGAATTAGGTTCAAATAAAAACATATAATATTCCGATCAAATTCAAGTGTGCTAAAGTTTCCCAACCTAGCCAAGGAGTGTTGGTATAATTTGTTGGGTTTTAGGAATTTGAGTTTTGTAAGGTCAAGTTCGAATTCTAACATCGTCATTCTTAGTGGCTCATAAATTGTTAGGTATGACTCATAAATATACCAGTAAATAGAGATGTAACCTAGACCTAAAATATCATTGAATAAAACTTCTAGCGCCGCCTAGGCACCGAGGACGTAAGCACGTTGCCGAACCTCGTAAAATTCTCGTGTTCTTTTGTTTTCTTTACCCGTTTTCGTCAACATAAATTATTATGTAAATCCGAATTGAGTCTTCGGTATGCCCTAACCTTAAACTAGGGAACCACCCTGCCCTAAACTTTTGTAACCCAAAAAAAAAAATGTTTCCCAACCCAATACCATTCCAAACGTAACAAAGTTTTATAAACGAATTTATATAATATATTTTCCAAAACATCACAAAATCTAGCATTTTAAAATAATTTTAATTTTATTTTATTTTTAAGTGCATCAAGTAAAATAATGCAATTCAACTCGGACCCTAAACAATTTCTATTTTTTTTCTCTTTCTCTCAAAATAAAAATGAAAAACCGGAGTCCCTCTGAAAATGTCATTTGATTCCTTTTCCCTCCATTTTTGCCATCTTTTCAAAGATTTCTTTACAATATTTTTTCCTAATTCGTTTTCAATATAAAATAGGAAGAGAGAGAGAAAATTCCAATTTTAATTGAGATCGACAAATTTTCTCAGCTCCAGGTATTGAACATTTTCTGTTCTTTTCTCTCTTCGTTGTTCTTTTTGCACAAATCTCTTGAGAAAAATTATTGAATTTCAATGATTTGAATTTGCGTAATTTTTCATGTCAATCTTTGTTAATGTTGTTTAATTTCTATAAACAATTTTATTAAACTTGTATGATTGTGAATGGGAGTTTAATTCAATTGATTAACGTAATTGATTTTTTTATGTATAAAAAATTATGATAATGTTTTATTTTCAACTTAGAGAGAACATGTTTGATTTCGTTTTAAAAAATTAATTATAAATTAAATAAAAATAAAATTTATTTTAGTTATAATAATTGTAGTTTTTAAGTTCTGAATGAAAGAATTAAATTAAATTGAATGTTCTTAAATAATAAACGAATCAAAACTGATTTAAGTTTAACAGAAACCAACTGAATTTTATGGTTCGAATTAGTTTTCGGTTATTTTGTTATTTTTTCTTGGTTCTATTTTCAATATAATTGAAGAGTTTTATATTCTATTTATAAATCTTTCTCATTGATCGGAGATTAAAGGTCTTTTCTTTTTGTTATCGGAAGAAGAAATTATTGAGAAATGGGGAAAAAAGGAGGCTGGTTTTATAGTGTGAAGAAAGTCTTAAGCCTTGAATCCAACAAAGATGAGGTTAATTTTGATCACTTTATTTATTTACATTTTCTGATCTTTTGAAGAGATTTTATTTTTTAAATTTTGTAATTTTTTTTTTAATTACATTTTATTTCACCAGAAATCTCAAAAATCAAAGAAAAAATGGGCAACAACGCAAGAGGGAACTCAGGGCGTCAAGTTAATCAAATCAGAAAATGAACAATGCAAAAATGCCAACTCCGTCGCTCTCGCCACCACCATGGTGGCGGCGGTCGCGGCCACTCAGGCGGCGGTCGAAGTTTTCCGCCTTACTAAGGTGCCACTCCACCCCAGGAAATCAAGGAAGGAAATAGCTATCATTATGATTCAAAAGTATTTTAGAGGATACTTGGTAATGAAATGCTTCCGTTTTCCTTTAGGGAATTAATGATACTTTTGGTTTGAGAAAATTTCAGATTAGGTCAAATCGTGACTCAAAATTCTTGACAATCATGTGTTCTTAGGCTCGGAAGAAATTGCGAGCTTTGAAAGGGTTGGTGAGGTTAAAATCATTAATCGAAGGGCAATCAGTAAAACGGCAGGCGACGACAGCGCTAAGATGCATGCGGTCGGTCGCTCGAGTGAGGTCGCATGTTCGGACAAGGCAGATTTTAATGTCCGAACAAAACCGATCACTCCAAAAGCAGATTCAACAAAAACACGAGAAAGAGTCGCAAAGGTCGAAATCCAGTGTAAGTTCCTCAATGAAAATCGAAAACCGATTTGAAATATGGTACGTTCAATATGTCTGGTTCCATTCGATTCGATCGAATTCTTTTATCATTTCAACACTTGTTTCACAGACGGGAGATGATTTTAATGTCAGCACCAAGTCGAAGGAGCAAATGGCGGCTAAAGAACAATATAGACTAAAAGCAGCAATGCGAAGAGAGAAAGCTTTAGCTTACTCATTTAGTCGCCAGGTTTCGGGTTTTACCTTCGATTGATATTACTATTATTGTTATAACCGGAAATATGTCATTAAGTTTCGATTTCCCTTCCGATTCGGATATGCATCGGATTTCATCGAGCTTTTATTACTTCTGTTTAATTTGGTTTTTAATGTAACAGAGACCGTGGAAGAATCCTTTAAAACCAGTGAATCAAACATTTTTGGATCAGAATTATCCCGAGTGGAGTTGGAGTTGGTTAGAGCGATGGATGGCAGCTCGGCCATGGGACATTCGAATCACATCGAATAACAATGACCGTGGCTCGAGTAAGAGTACCGGTCCTCGAATCCCTAAAGCAAAGTCTCAAATTGAGCCCAACAACGATAACGATAAACGATCTCCAACACCGGCAAAACCGATTCGACCACCAATCCACCGGTCCACTTCAACACCACCCTCTAAGATACATTCTACTTCATTACCTTCTAGCAAAATAACAGTGCAAAGCCCAAGTCCGACTCGAACTTACTTGTCCGATAGTTATAAGAGACATAGCATCGGGGCCTCATCATCATCATCGACGGACTATGAGATCTTCGAAAGCTCACCTCCAAATCCTATTAACAAAACCTCATCACAAACACCGACAAGGGGCAGACCTCGATTGGCTAGCAATGGAACGTCGGATAAGGTATCGGCAAAGCCTCCAAATAGACGACTTTCATTACAACCATCACTGGCAAGGAGTCAGAGACTTTCTGGTCCTCCGAAGGTTAATATGTCCCCCATTTAACTAAAAATCGAAGAAAATATCGAACAATGATGAAGGCATGTAACATATGAAGCACAGACACTTCTGTCACGGAAATGTCTGAACAACGGATTCGTGTTCGACCGGAATAGTTTCGACATGGTAAAATGTGTTGGGCATACAATGACATGTAAAAAAAAAAAGATTTGATACTGTCAAAATATGGTTAAGACACGAGGGGATAATTCGAACATGTTATATATTTTTTTCTTTTCATATTTTCCCAAATATAGAATCAATAATATGACAGTTGATTCTACTAACTCCTTTAAGGTTAGAATTTTTAAATTTAAAAATGATGTTAAAGTTATTGCAAAATTGTTTATAAAGTAATATTTATATGAAAAAATAGTAATATTTGTCTGGAAAACTATTTACATAGTAATAATCATAGATAAACATTATAGAAAATAATCTCAGTGACAAAAAATGCCTTATAATATACGATTTTAACCAACTTTTTTGGATTTGCCAAAATGACCAACTAAATCGTAATGCGATCGATAATTCGCAACGCGATCTTCGGTATCGCAAATCAGTTTCCAGATTCGCAACGCGATTCTGACTATCGCATTGCGATTTTCCGACTATCGCAATGCGAATATGTAAATCGCAATGCGATTATGACTATCACAATGCGATTCTGACTATCGCAACGAGATTCTGACTATCGCAACGCGATTCTTACTGTCGCAACGCGATGCTGACTATCGTAATGCGATTTTCAAAGTGCCATTATTATTGCAACGCGTATTTTTTTTTCAAATTTCAAACACGAATATTAATATATCGAAAAACTGAACCGTCCACAGTATATCCCGTAATTGCAACTCATAACCTAAAACCCTAAATCACAGCTCAATCCCATCTCCATCTCTCACTCTCTAAGGCGACATCCGTCCCCATCTCCGACGAAATCAGTCTCCATCTTCGGCGAAATCCGTCTATCTCCATCTCTCAGAGCCACCTTCACAATCATTTACGGTCAGAAATGGAAAATCAACCAAATCAACTACCAAGGTTTTAGTTTTTTTAATTATTTTTATTTTGAAATTTTTGCATTATTATTAGGTTTTTCATATTGAAATTGATGATAAGTTTACCGGTAATTTCAATAATAGATTAACCATTTCATTTAGATTGCTTATTAAATTCATTCGATTACTGCCAATACTGCTAAACTGTTTAATCTTTAAACCCTGTGAATTTAATATTTGTCTTTGTTTTGTCTTTTGGTTGAAGTAATGCAATCCATTCAAGTTTCAATTTTAGTATTTGAAACCGAGAATCGCAACACGAAATGAAAATCGCAACGACAGAATCGCAATGCGATTTTAGTTTCGCGTTGCGATAGTCATTTTCGTGTTGCGATTTTCATTTTCGTGTTGTAATTTTAAGTTTCAGAAACTATTCTTCTTCTGCAAATTGAAACTTGAATGAATTGCATTACTTCAACAAAAAAACAAAGACAAATACTAAATTCACAGTGTTGCAAATTTAAGTTTGAAGAATAAACTACTACTCTTTATGTTTATTGTTCTTGTATATCTTCACAGTGTAGTTTTTGGTATATCTAACTTGGTATGTTTATTTTTTGTAGAACTTTTATTCGGCTCAATGACCTAAGAAATACATTAAGCCTGGCCAAAACAATTGCGTCGAAGCTTTCACATGCACAAAGAAAATATTTGAGGACTGTGCTTGGGCCATGGCTGAAAGTACAACATTCGGGTGGAGATGCTATGTTGACCCATCTGTTTCTTCAAACCATGACTAGCGATCTACCAGAGACTATAGTCGTGATGAAGAGATATGGTTTGATTTTCCACCGGCGTATACATGTTTTGGGCGGGAGGAGTTTTGCTTAATCACCGGTCTACGCTTCGGACACGATGATGTAGGTCGGTACACTAGACATATTACCCGCCTATCATGGTTATCTCGGGTTTTTCCTGAGCTGCCAATGGAGAAGCCGAATTTACACGTGGAAGACTTGACGAGATTATTGAATAAGAAAGATGGTTTTACTCGGATGGATGACGTCGATGTTGTCCGAGTATGCCTTCTAATACTTTTGCATGTCGGCTTTTTAGGCAGAGATGCCAGACAACATATTCCTAATGATCTAATTAAATTGGTAGAGGACCTAAATACATGGAACCTATTTCCGTGGGGTTCGTATCTATGGAAAGCTACATGGAATAAGTTGTCGTCTGCCTTTGATGATCGAAAAAGTTTACGTGGAGATGGTTCCAAATACACTTTGTCAGGCTTTATTTGGGCCTTTAAGGTAAGAATTTTTATATAATGTTTCCAAAATTATAATTAATTATTATTTAACAATTACTAATGTTTGTTATTATATTGTTTGTAGATTTGGATATTTGAGGCCTTTCCCGCCATGCAGACATATGCATTAAAAACTTCTAATGATATTCCTACGGCTATTTCCTGGAAGAGGAAACGGACCATGCAGTAATGGGAAGATTTACTACCGTATACGACAATAAATAATGTAAGTTAACACAAATACTACCATATGTTTATAAACAAGTTATTACTAGTACACGTTTAACTTTGTTTGAGTTTTTATATTGTTAGGAGTCCAACACTCCATTACAGAGGCTGACACCCATGGAAGCTGAGCTTGCCACTGATTGGTGGCAAGTTAGTAAGCGTTTTTTTTTATGGCACGGATGATGAGCAGCCACCACTTCGAGAGCCATCACCTCACCCAGAGCCATCACCTGATCAACCCGACTATACACCTCCACAACGAGAGCCATCACCTATTTTGTCACATCATCGAGCCTCTTCTCCACCATCACCTATGATAGGCGACCGGCAAAGATGCCACGACGATTATCTCCCTGTTCTCCACCTCCACGGGATGAGTTAGGGGAGTTACGTGATGAGGTCAATGCCTTGCGTGAGGAGGTCGGTACTTTACGCGATGACAATGGTGCATGGCGTGTTGAGGTGTCTACTTTACGTGGTGAGGTAGTTCGCTCTACGTGAGATGGTAGCATCATTGCAGAATGAGGTTCATACTCTACGCAACGAGGTAAGTTTAATATTTTTCATATTTAACTTGATGATAAATTTACTCGTAATTTCACTTAGATTAACCATTTCACTTAGATTGCTTAGTAAATTTATTCGGTTGCTGCCAATACTCCTAAACTGTTTATTCTTTAACCCTGTGAAGTTAGTATTTGTTTTTGGTTGTCTTTTGGTTGAAGTAATGCAATCCATTCAAGTTTCAATTTGCAGAAGAAGAATAGTTTACTTTCGCAACGCGAATTTGACTATCGCAACGAAAGAATCGCAACGCGAAATTAAAATCGCATTGCGATTCTCTCGTTGCGATAGTCAAATTCGCGTTGCGATAGTCATTTTCGCATTGCGATAGTCATTTTCGCGTTGCGATAGTAATTCGTGTTGCGATTTTAAGTTTCAGATTCTATTCTTCTTCTGCAAATTGAAACTTGAATGAATTACATTACTTCAACCAAAAGACAAAGACAAATACTAACTTCACAGTGTTGAATTAAGTTTCAAGAATAAACTGCTACTCTTTATGTTGTCATTGAACCTGCACTAAACCTATATGTTGTCCTTTTAAATGTTTATAAAAGTGATTACTTCTGGAATGTTATCTGATGCATTTTGTGAACAATGATAGAATAATGACTTGGGTGAATACCGTGCAAGTTTGAAATATATTTGTCTTTATTTTCACTGTTTAATATCATGTCTGTTTATTTACTGGTTTATGTATTAATTTATTTTTAGCGGCCCGCTAAGGTGGATGCTCTACGTTGGGTTTTTCTTGCAAGACAGAGTTCACACATCAGACGGCGTGCACGTGCCATTATGTCTCCGTTCACCCCAATAGTGCGAAGAATCCTTAAGAAAAAGCCCGACTCACCTGTCATCGTTCAAGAGGCCTCCCCTATCGTTCAAGAGGCCCCTATCATCCCTCAAGAGTCCCCTCCCACCGTTCAAGAGGCCACTGTTATCGTTGAAGAGGTCCCTCCCAACATTCTAGAGCCTGATTCACACGGCGTAATATATCGAATTATTGAGAAACCCCCTCATGTGACGGACATGATGGATGACTGTTGGCTTTCGTATAAGTTACCGGCCAGTACCATTCCGGCAGATGAAGTGGAGAGGAAACAACTACCGGAAACAATTCTGGATAATACTCTTTGGGCTAAGACCGCAGTTGATTTTTATCTACATGAGCGGAGCCAAGGGTGTTACGCTGACATATACAAACTCAACGATGATATGCATTTGTTGATTGAACGGTCTTGGTAGGGTGTATTATTAGGGTTTGAAGACAATGACTATTTCGATGGGGGGTAAGTCGTATATTTCTTCTTATATTTCATTTTGATTAATTTTTTTTAAATTTATGTAATTCACTAATATATGTCTTTTTTTGTAAAATATTCATATTGATGGATGTCACGTCTTCTAATAGTAAGGAAATTGAAGAAAAATAAAAATAAAAAAACGCGATATACAATTATGCCGACGTCTTTTCACGTAGTTCACTTGAAGAATCAACGACATGAATCATATGTGTTGGCTAATGGACAAGCTAAACTTTATCCTGCATGGTGGGAGGTTGATAAGGTTAGTATTATTTTTTTAAATATTTTAAAGGTGTTCATAAATAAGTGCGCAATTTGATTATTACTTATGATTGCAGGTGTTTATCCCTGTTTTGGAACGTACTCATTGGCTTCTCATCGAGCTTCAGCTCCCATCCCTGAAGACAATAGTATATGACATCATGATAAATTACATATCATTGTCTGATTTGAGAGATATTATTAAGGGATGGAGCTCTCATTTGGCTAAATTCTTGGATGCGATTAATTATTGGACTTATTCTGGAAACAAGAAGCTAAAGAAGTTCAATGTTATAGTTATCATAGACGAGACCGCGCTACAACAAACGCCGGAAGCCAGAG